TGTATTCCCCCCACGACTGAGCGTGCGCTGACATAGTACAGCTTCAACATTATGAGCCATGACTCTTGAGACATTCTTCATCATGAGCTCTAGACTCGTCGCCAGTAACGAAGTGAAAGTCCGAGTGGTACCAGGTGGTACCGGTATGACCCGGGGTCGTCTCAAGGTGAGCGCTTGCATCTCCCTCCTCTCTCCCCTTGACTACTTACGGTAAACGTTGGCAGTACAACGATGGCTCTCCTCATTTCACCTTTTGCTAGAGGACATCGAGTCTTCAATAATGCGCGTCCGTACTAAGTTGTATCAATATCAAAATGGCATGTCAATCCCGCTTACACCCACGTTCATCTTGGCCTGTCACTGTCACGACTGTATCGTCCTTCCAAGAACCCAACACGTGTTGTCGCGGACATACTAGGGCCATGGAGGTCGAGATAACGCACCAAATGACTGAAGCTTTTTCCCCTCTTGATCCTCGCATATGCCAGACCAGCAACAGTGCTCAAAGGAGACGTCCTGTGCAGATACTGGTAAGCACGCCACGCTAGGAGCTCGTTCAATCATTGATATTGTTCCAGGGTCATGCCATCGCGACGACCTGGAAGGGCGTGCGTTACACAAGCAAGTCGGCTTTGACGTCCCGTTCTCCAAGACGTTTCCCATTGAGGTTTGGGAGCGGGTGATAGATCATTTGTGGGTCGATCCTCTGGCTGTCGGCGGGAAAGAGTACGCCTCGGCCTTACGGGTATGTGCTCGGGTTTGCAAGTCCTGGACACCGCGGTGTCGCTTCTACCTCTGCCGTAGCCTCGCTATTCGTGACCGGAAGCAGGTTGCTGAGATGCGTGTGATGCTGCAACGGGACCAGTATCTCAAGACGGTCATCAAGAGTGTTCATTTCTCCACGCTGGAGCCGCTCGGTCCCTTCGCAGTTACCATGGCTGGCAAGTTGCGGCGGCTGGAAGACGTTCATGTAGGATCGACGGAATGGAAGCCCGGGATGGTCCACGCAGACGCAGCGAACGTGTTCCTCTTCCTGAGCACATTTACATCCATCACAAAGCTCACGATGAGCTATGTCAAGTTCCCTTCCGTCGCCACCTTTGGGCGGCTGATTTGTTCCCTGCCTAGATTGTCTCTCCTCACGTTGTTCTGGGTATCATTCACAACGAAAGGCTACAAAGCGGGCACCGTGCTGTCCCCCAAGGATTTTGTACTCGAGCAATTCTCGTCGAACGACTGTGACGATGCCGCTGATGTCTTCGACTGTCTACACGCTACTCGAATCGCCACGAAGACACGAAAGCTCACATTTGGCTTGTTCCAGAACCTCTACACATCAAATGGTTTGATCAGTCGCCGCATACAGCAACTCCTGGAAGCGTCGGGAGAGCTACTCACCTCTATTCACCTCACCTTCTACTTTGGCGTCACACCAGATTTTACCGGTACGTCCCATCTAAGCGGGCATATTTCCTAGACGATCCTGACCTCGTGAACAGAGCTTGTGTCATTCAAACACAACACGAAGCTCGAGATCCTTACGCTCGACCTGGTGTCTGAGTGGGATGCACAGATGGGCGCGCTCTTCTCGCTACTGCTTGACACCTCGCCTTCGGCCCTGCGCGAGATCAGAATCGCTGCAGCATACATGCCCAACTACTCTGATTGCCCGACGAACGAGTCGCTTTTTGTACTACTTGACCCTCACGTGTGCGCCCTCATCGACAGACATTTGTCTGCAAGTGCGTACAAGCGATTCAAAGTGCTAAGCTTCGAGCTATTGGTGAGCCCAGCTCTGTATCAGACTGCGGGGGGAGAGGATCGACCAACGTTAGAGTTCTGGGAGAAGGGGCTGGGGGAGCGATTTCCGAGACTCAAGACGGCAGGAAGTTTGCAGTGAGTAGCCTTGTTCGTATCTTAAATGCATGGTCTCACCACCGCTTTCAGATGCTCGTACACCGTCTCGCAAAGACATTGATGTATTGAGATGATTTGTCATGGTGTCCGAGGACATGCTTGCAGTGAATCCGACACGGTGAAGATCTAAACATGACTATCGTATTTGTGGTGTTACTTTGTCAACTCACGACAGCTTCATCGGAGTTTGGGCCATCTCATGGTAGTCACCGAATTGTTGATGTTTTGCGCTGAGTGACGATTACACTGCAACCTTACTGCAAACGATGGAGTTCGCTTCGACAAGATAGGGTAGGCTTGAATATGCATATTATGGAGAGTAGTACCGCTATTAGCGACGTTGACAGCGCAAAAACAAACAAAGCTGAAGCAGAGAGAGCAATACGAAAGAAATGGGAATTTGGCTTAAGAGCTGGCTATAATCACGCCTTCGCGCCCTGATACAATCGCACCTTCAGCGGCATCTGAGGCTTGTTGCTTACGCTGCCCACAGTGGGATAGCGTACGCCGGCAGCATTCCACACAATAGGCTTGTCCGTCAATTCGAAGGTGAAGTTGGCCAGCAACACCGATAACACAACTTCTGCAGGAATAAGTTAGAATTTCTCAAGTCGCGTTGCGATGGAAGTCCACTTACTCATTTCCATTTCGGAGAATTTGAAGCCGCTACGTCAACGGGTGAGCATGAGTTCCTGCAGCAGGTTCTGTGAAAGACATACATGCACGCTCTCTTCCCGCCGATGAAAGTCATGCTGGGAAACAGTATTAGCAGGTCTCGGGAAATAGTTAGATTGATACCTACAGGTTCGCGTAGACGCCAGGAATTGTGTTCTTTGTGACCTTGCCGGGAAGGGGGGAGAGCCACCTTTCAGGCTTCCATTCGTGTGCGTCTTCGCCCCAAAGTTCTTTACTCGCGTTGCAGCCCAAAATTCCGATGATGACTTGTGTTCCCTTGACCATCGGAATCTGCGTAATCAAGTTGCCGTCGGCTCCTACGATGGGCTCAGCCAGCGGGACAATCGTATCCCGATTTGCGCTGAACCAGTAAACCACTTTAGAGTGCGGATCGATCGTAGCCAGAACCACTTACACGCGTGAAGTGAACTGAACGGGAGGATTCCTAGGGGAAAGTTGCGTCAGCGAGGAATGTGGATACGGGTAGTAGATAAATTAGCTTGCAGTCGCAATGTTTCCCGGCACACGCCATCAAGCAAGGGTAGCTGGTCGAGCTCATCATACGATAAGGATTCCCCAGCATGCGCTTGCAGTACCTCTGCACGCAGTTTATCTTGCATGTCAGGACGCTCTGCCAGGATATGTAAGATGCGGGCCAGCGTGTTTGAGGTCGTGTCTGTCGCAGCAAAAACGAGGGTGCTGTACGTCAAAGTAAACTATGCGAAACGGAGAAGTCGGGCAAGACACGCACGACATCTGCGCGATAATCTCGTCCTCCGGCAGTCTATCAGCCTCGGATGTGGAAGCATTTGCTCGCACTGGTATAATATTAGCACAGCAAGGAGGACATCGGCGGGGGTTGAACATACTCAGAATGCTCATGATATCCTTTCCTTCTCCCACCTGCTGCAAGACGGCTTCCTCACCTTGAAGAAGGGCAGCTTTCTTCTTCTCAAAAATTTTGCGTGACTGAAAATCCATAGTGTCAACGATGTACTTGGCTCTCTGAATATCGCCATCTGGTACGAAGTTGAGTAGGAAACGTCTCAAGGCAGCGGGCCCTGCTCTCGTAACATAAGGAGCCATAAGCCGTATTATGGGGAGTTTGACTAGGCTCGGACTGTGTGACGAACGATACGATCAGTATTGGACAACTTGTAAGGAAGCACACATACATCAATGATTTAAGAGCATGACCATACTCGTTGTACGTGTCCTCGACGAGGGGATCGAAGGAGTATCCAAGGCCACCTTGACCTATCAATTCAAGTGCAGTACGGCCCATCCAATCAATCACGTCGATTTCCTCAGCCCCACCAGCAACTTGCTTCTTAATTCCATCTCGAAGCTGTTACATTTGTATGTTAGCTTTGAAAATAGGAGCAGGACGGCGAGTTACTTTGTGTACTACGTTATAGAAGATGGGTATGATATGGCGCATGTGGTTGATAGAGAATGCCGGATTGAGGAGCTTGCGCTGCCTGCGATGTTTGTCGCCTGCCGGTCATACTATGTCAATGCGTGCGCCTACTGTGAAGTCAGAAACTCTGACCTAAAGTCCCAAGTAGTCCGTGTCCAAATAGCAAGCGATTCATACTGAAAGGCACTCAGCAAAATGTACACAGCCAAAAATCGATAGTATTACTAAATGAACGAATCTGGCTCCGGAAATGAGGGTTCGTCCTTGATCATGATTGCATGCAATGCCTTAGGGTCGGAGACGTACAACATTGGCCGCTGTAAGCGCAGCTATTTAAATGCAACAAACCCGTACTCCAAGAACGTACTTACGCCAAACATACCATATATTTTGGCAACGGGCGCATAGTCAAATGCCAGGTGTCGCTGAAAATCTGTACCGTCGCGGGAGAAATACTGAGGAATGTTACCTACTCTGTCAGGTGAGTTTCCATACGATCCGTATATCGAGACAGTAGCATGCCTTTCAGAAACGACGCGGGAGGAGGACCAGAGATGTTTCGTAAGGCATTCCTACTCTTCCGTATTTCCAGATACTGCCATGCAAAAGCGACAGTACCAAGAATAAGGAGTGAGCTCCACAACTCCAGAAGAGCCATGATAATGGATCCCGCTGAATTCTATGTCTCTAGCAGTTGAAATTAGACGTGTGAACGAGTGATATCCAGTTAGCTGAGAGACATAAGTCCTGAAAACGTCGACTTTATACGAACCGGAATCAATCGCACGAACCACGGATTTGGACATGTGCACGTAACCACAATTGAGTCCCCGGCCCGAACATTCAAGTCGGCAATAAAATGTACTATGCAGTTCTGGACGCTGTTGCGCGCCCCGCATTTCGCAGCTTGTTTAAGCATGGGTTACAGTAGCAGCAAGCCTATGGACGAAAATTTTCCAAGTTCAATGAAACAGCTCTAGTATTGCCTTGCGATTATTTCCGACCTGGTGCTATACAAGATGCAAAGTCAATAGACCCATCGTAAATACACATGACACAACATAATGTAAATTTTCTCACCGCATAAAGCGTTTTCAGTCATTCAATTCCTGAACGCCCTTATACCCACGGCCGTCGGACAATCAGAAGCATTCTATAGTACAGCACACAACTTACCATTAACATTGCCACTCACTTGAGTCATATGCTCGATATTAGAGATCACATTAACAATGTCAACCCGCGAACAGCTCGTCACCGACGGTGGACTTCAGAAGCGCGCGATATCGAAGTTGTATTACGGGCCACGGCTGGGACAGGTTCTGTCAACTTTGCTTCATTCAACTTTGAGCCGCATTGATTGGCGACGGTAGCACGTGACCAAAGACACGCGACGCGACGATAGACTCGGATGCGATTCTGACTCGAGACGCCTCAGTCGAGGACACTGCACTAGACGGCGACGTGCAGTATGGCGCAACTGAGGTCAGTAGATACGCTCTCTTATATCGTTTACTGGACAAGGGCTCATATTACTGAACACAGTTCTAAGTTGAACAGGTAGATTACCATTCAGTACAGTCGATTACGATAGCAATTGTAATCCATCTATGTCGCGCTGAGAGACGCAATTAGGACCTTCCTTTCCAACACTCAAGGGGTCATTATTTGATGGCTGTCTACCAGGAGAACGAACTCTGGTCCAGAATTCAACGACCCTTCACACGAAATGCCAATTCGTGGCTACGTGATCTCACGGGATTCTGTAAGAAGGCGAGCTTCGACTGATTCAGATTTCTAGCATGCGTGTCTTCTCGGTGCCGGTATTCTTGATCTCAGCTGATAACACGGGCCGCCTACAAGTCACTCGTTAAGCGGTGATTGAGAAGAATATATAATGGTTTGGCCGATGGGTCTTTTCCGGGTCTTTTGCATCGTCGCGCACCAGCCATGAATGGGGCAGATCCTAAGCTCCTAGCTGTAGTCTTGGGTCTTACTTTCGTAACATGGCGCTTTTTTAGCCGTAGGGCAAGTAAGAGCATTTTAGACAAGATTCCCGGGCCTCCTTCGGATTCATTCTGGGCGGGTATGTCTGTTGCGTTTGACGACAGTTCACGAGGTCTGACTTGTATCGGCTTTGTAGGGAACATGCGCCAATTTGATGCTCGTGATGGAATGGAATTTCAGAGGCGAGTGGCATTGGATTATGGACCAGTGTCAAAAATACATGGTCTTTTTGGAGTACGTGGGAACTGCCATGTCTCCTCGGTTTGTCATACCAACTCGCTGTTGTAGCAACCTATTTTGTACGTTTCCGACCCGAAAGCGCTGCAATCTATAATTCTCAAGGAAGAGCATATTTTCCAAGAACCTCACTCGTTCATTGTGTATATTTTCACACTTTGATGTTGCGAAAATTGAGACGTTAATGATTTGTTCAGAACCAATGGTATTATATTTGGGCCAGGTTTACTTTCATCACTTGGTATGTGAAACCAACTCGTAGTTATGCTTGATCATTGTCGACTGACTTCAAAATGTAGGCGAGGCGCATCGCAAGCAGAGAAAGCTGCTTAATCCAGCCTTCTCCACTAACCACATGCGTTTGATGCTACCTATATTCTATCGCGTTGTTCATAAGGTGTGTTTTAGTTTCCTGCAGCGAGAACAACCATGTAGCTAATTAGTATACATAGCTTCGAGATGCTATTTCAACACAAGCCAAGGATGGGCCTGAAGAAGTTGACATACTGAATTGGATGGGACGTACTGCTCTTGAGCTAATTGGACAAGGTGGCCTAGGATACTCGTTTGACCCTCTTGTTGAGGACGTACAAAACGAGTACGGTAATGCTCTGAAAGACTTGTTGTAAGCAATATCTACCTTTTTCGACCGTTTTTATCATCGTCATACATCATGTTTCTTGCATAGCCCAAGTTTGCAGCCTCTGAACACCTTCATCCATCTTGTTCCCTTAGTTGCAAATATCGGCCCTGCCTGGTTCAGAAGATCAGTGACAAGTTTAATTCCTTCTCGCCAACTCCAGAGGGTTCGAACCATTGTAGATACTATGAGCGCTAAATCTTCGGAAATTTTTACTCTGAAGAAAGCGGCAATTCGAGAGGGTAGTGAGTCACTTGTGCAACAAGTTGGAGAAGGCAAAGATATCATGAGTCTTCTTAGTGCGTATCTTCAAACACTTGATTCGACAGAAATATATTGAGCATATAACCATGGCAGTCAAGGCAAATGCAATGACGTCGGAATTGGATCGCTTACCCGAGGATGAACTCATTGCTCAGATGTCGTGAGTTCACTCATTTGACTCGTAATTGCAAGTGTTGAGCTTCCTGCAGTACTCTTGTTCTCGCGGCGGTTGATACGACATCGAATGCATTATCGCGTATTCTGCACATCCTGGCGGAGCGTAAGGATGTACAAGACAAATTGCGGAAGGAAATTCTCGAGGCGAATGCAGGTGAAGGGCTGTCTTACGATGAGTTGGATCAGCTGCCAATCCTGGACAGTGTTTGCAGAGAGACGCTGCGAGTGTAAGTCTTGGACTGCTTTTATTTTGATGAGGTCTCGATGTGATTGATGGGGTACACTGTCAGCTATCCACCAGCACCAATCATATTCCGCCAGTGAGTATTCATGGGGTCTTTCGACTCATCGCTAATCTCCGAATCTATTGTGTACTCCCAGAGCATACCAAGACACGGTATTACCCCTATCTGAGCCGATAATTGGTACAGATGGTAGCTCGATCAACGAAATTCCCATCCCAAAAGGCACATTGCTCATTGTGGGCGTCCTGGGCTGTAATGCAAGCAAGGCACTCTGGGGAGAAGATGCACGCGAATGGAAACCTGAACGTTGGCTCTCTCCGCTGCCAGATACTGTCACAAAGAATTCCGTTCCTGGTGTCTACTCAAACTTGTCAGTGGCTCTTCTTCGTCCTTTGAACGCAAGCTCTGATATATGGTGCATATGACAGAATGACTTTCCTTGGTGGCAAGCGGGGATGCATGTAAGTTGAGCAGTTATTTTGATTTGCATAGCTGCTCATTATGTTGTCTCTAGTGGATTCAAATTCTCCGAAATGGAAATGAGTGAGTATCATGCTCAGATTCTTGAGGACACGCGACTGATATTACCTGATGCAGAGGTTGTATTATCGACCCTACTATCCAGTTTCGGATTCAACCTCGCCAAGAAGCCGATTGAATGGAATGTTGCAGCAGTGCAATATCCCACCGCAGGGAAAGACAGCGGAGTGCCTGCGATGCCGCTCGAGGTGGAATTGCTGAAGGCATAGGATAATCAGAGCTGATAGTGACATCTCCTAGGTGTCTTACAGTGTACCTTCTTCCCATGTGTTCTGTTTCTTTTATTTATCATGAGTACAGATAATGTTGATTTCAATGGCAGTTCTATAGCATTTTGTGCCCGGCGGGCTGCAACCCGGGAGAGGATGTAAGCCTTGACCTGATTATTGGCGTTCTGACAGTCAGAGAGCTGCCACCGAGCAGCTTGGTCTGAGATTAAAATTACGATGCTCGATTATCGAGCAGAGTTATGAGAGTATCGACTTGGTCGTGAGCCACGAAACAATGTCTGCGGCCGTAATGTCCATAGACTCAAACTTAGATCTGCGACAAGCGCCATCAAGATTGTTCAGTTAACGTTTGCTGCAGTCGAAACCTAGTCTAGTAGTGATCAGACCACCTCCATTGCTATCCCCTCCAATCTCGCTTCAAGCTACATATAGGACCAGCCGGGACTCGTCATTGCGCGATCTGTGAGCATGTATTTCGTTGCGAGGAGGGAAGACAAGGAGTCGAGATGGTCACCAAGTGTTCGTGAGCCTGTCTGCTTATCACTCCCTAGGTCTCGCGCTCATTATTCAGTTCCTAAGTCGTTTATGGAAGAGGGCTTCTCACATCGTGTTGGACCGTAGCGAAACTGAAAACAAATCGGACAAAATTCTCTGTGCAAGATGCAATACACTAAAGCTTCGCCAAATCCTACGCAAGGGCGTCCCCGAGAAGAAGGCGATACCCATTGGCAGCCTCCTTCATGTTATCGCCTCTGCAAACAAGTGTAGTCTCTGTCGGCTTATTGCACACAGTGTGCGGCAGGCATGGCTTTTGGATCGTGACGACTTTCAAAACGAAGACTTGTCGCGTGTCGAGTGCGCATTGTACGCGGAACCTGCAGGGTATGTTCCACCAAAGAACAAGTTTAAGGCCTTGTTTATGTCTCCTGCACGTCGCCTCATTGTGCAAGCTGAACCCTGTCCGCCTCCCATCTACTCAGCGCAAATAGCTGCACGGACCGATATGCAGCCGCAGATCAGACTGTTAGGCAAGGATGCCTCAAAGCTTCGCCAGGACCCCGCTTTTCATGCTCGGCGTGTACGGCAGAGTGGAGTGGAAATAGAGCTTGTCAAGATGTGGATGAGGATATGCGAGGAAGAACATGGCTCAGAATGCGAGGAAGTCTGGTGGAGGGACATGGAGAGTGTGCTACCAAAGGGGATGCGGGTGATCGACGTCGTCCAGATGCGTTTGGTCAATACTCCACACAAATGCCGCTACGTTGCACTCAGTTATCTCTGGGGCGGACCAGGCGACGCCTACTGGACGACCCGGGCAAATTTGATGCAAAGACAGCAGGATAAAGGTGTCGACTGGACAGAGCTTCCGGGTACAATTGCCGATGCCATCCACCTACTCCAGCTGCTAGGGGAGAGATACCTCTGGGTAGATGCATTATGCATTGTCCAGGACGATTTGGATGACCAGATATCTCAGATCAAGGTGATGGACCAGATTTATAGTAACGCGCTGCTCACCGTGTTCGCCGCTGGTGGGATGAGCGCCCAAGCATCGCTTCCAGGACTGAGGTCTCGTCGTTCATCTTTTAACCAGCATATTGAAAAAATCCAGGGTCTTCATCTAGCTGTTTCTCTTACGACTCTAGACGAGGCAATAACTCGGTCTTTTTGGAACACCCGTGGATGGACATACCAAGAGTATGTCCTGTCGCGCCGTCGACTCTGGTTCACTCCCGAGCAGGTCTTCTTCACTTGCAGACGAGATACTTGGTGCGAGGATGTAGCGGCAGAAAGTACGTCTAAGGACGCTGTATACGCAACTCAGCATATATATTCTTTGGCTGGACCATTATCATTCCCTACAGGGTATAAACCGGGCTCAAGTGACTCGTACATTGACCGGTATATGCGCGCTGTCCAGGAGTATACCACTCGCCATCTCAGCTATGAATCGGATATTCTTAACGCGTTCACTGCTATTATGAACATCTTCTCTAAAGGCTACGAGACGGGCAGGGGTGATCCTGGCTACACATTTTGTTTTGGTATGCCGGTCTCGGAAATTGAGAATGCGCTGTTGTGGCAGCCCAGCGGAAGTACCCTGCTTACTCGGCGAATCAATACTCGCATTGCGACTCCCTCATGGTCCTGGACGGGCTGGTGCGGTGCGGTCCTTTACTCGGTTGTGGGATTCAAAGCCACCTATCCAGAAGCAAGCCAGTCTTTAGTTCATGCGTGGTTACTACATGACGATGATGGAATGGCACGACAGCTAAACGTCAGAAATCCTATTCAAAAGGAATGGCTCAGTAACGGAAGAGAGCCGGCCGTGCGCTACAATGGTGTTCAAGGAATGTTGTCAATGTCTTTACTCGACCACGAACTGCCAGGCACGCTCGTCTTCTGTACCAGTTCAGCATACCTCTGCGTTGAAAAAGTAAATGATGACCCAAAAGGTGCTGCTGGGAAGTCATCCCAAGGAGAAAATGTGAAGTACATATCACCTCATTATTCCATATTCTCCATCAGGTCGCAGCACACGGATTCGCCCAATATCCGCATTGGCCAGATAATTCTTCCCAACTCCACGTGTGCCTCGGATTCACTTGAGTTCATTGTACTTTCGCGTGCAACAGATGGTTATGATGATGCGTTTGACCAGAGTGTCCTCGGCGCAGACTATTATGGGTCTTTGTTAAACGTCATGGCTGTGATTGACATCGAGGGCGGTGTCAAGGAGAGGCTCGGAGTCGGTGTTATTGCTGAGGTCGCCTGGCTCGCTGTGAACACTCAGGAGAAGACTGTGAGGTTACGGTGATAGCTCGAGCTTCTAATACGCACTGTCAGAAGTTGAAGGGTACATATGTGGCAGCCCTTCAAAATTATCAGACATTAGTTGAAATAATGCTGTGGTAACCATTCTCCACTAACTAGTTTCAAAAGATTTGCAGTAAATCATAGCCTTGGCATGCAACCAGAGTTAAGTTCGCATAGACCCTCATTTGAGCAACAGCGAGAAGAGACACGAAACTAGATGGACTCAAGAAATGTATACAACAATCTGGTACAAGACAGGCTGACAAAGGAGGAACGAGGAGATTGGATATACTTAGACACATCGCGAGGACGACCGAGTACAACAAAATCAGCTATGCTTTCAGCAACTCAACCCGGAGTGGCAGCTGAGGGACGTCGCTGACTTTGCCGACCGTTGGATACCGCACGCCAGCAACGTTCCACTCGATTGGTTTGTCAGTCAGCTCAAACTTGAAACTCGAAAGCAGGACCGACAATACGACCTCTGGACCAAAAGGGCGTTAACGTCCATAACATCAAAAGCAACTGATGATGCACCCACTCATCTCCATCTCGGAAAACTTGAATCCACTGTACAATTCAACATCAGTGTGGGGCTAGCGTATGAGACACCCGAGACGTACATGCAGCCTCGCTTTCCGCCGAGGAATGACATTCTGTAAAACGTAAATTCAGTCTGCTCAATCCGACGAAGAGGGGTCACTGACAAGTTGGCGTAGACACCGGGGATTGTGTTCTTCGTAACCGCACTGGGAAGAGGGGAGAGCCAACGCTCAGGCTTCCACTCGCGTGCATCTTCACCCCAGAGTGACTTGCTCAAGTTACAGCCCAAGATACCAACAACCACCTTCATACCCTTCGTGATAGGGATCTCGTGGATCAATTTGCCATCCGTCCCGACAATCGGCTCAGACAGCTGGAGAACGGTATCACTGATTGCCCTGAAGCATAAGTTGTCAGTCAGGGCAGCGAAATCTTTAGTCAAATACGCACTCGCGGAACACCTGAAAGACTGGCGGATATCTGTTGCGAATTGTGCATTGAATATCTCGGAGAGCGCGAAAAAACTAAGGACGCACACTCGCAATGTCTCACGGCAGACACTGTCAAGGAACGGCAGCTGATCTAATTCGTCGTACGTCAAGCTGTCACTGGCACCTGCGTCCAATATCTCCTTGCGCAGTTTCTCTTGTACGCCTTGGTGCTCCGCTAGCAATTGCAGGATACGAGACAGAGCGTTGGACGTAGTATCTACTGCGGCAAGGACCAGCGTGCTTTTTGGAAAGTTCGGGTGAGTGTCCAGAACTGAATATAAAAAAGAAAGCTCTACATACGACATCTGGGCAATTAATTCGTGGTCGGGCAACCGATCTTCGTCCGAGGTCGTCGCATTTGCCCTCACTGCAATAAGTAACATGAGCATAGAATAGCTGAAGCATGCCTTTAAGTTCTTACTGAGGATGCTCATTATGTCTTTTCCCTCTCCTACTTGTTGTGCGAGTACTTCATCGCCAGAGCGTAGGGCTGTAGCTTTCACATCGAAAATACCCTGCGATTTCTGGCTCATAGTGTCCACGATAGCTTTGACTTTATGCGCCTTCTTGTATGGGATCATGTCTAACATTGCACGCCTGACATGTGCAGGGCCAAGCTTGGAGATGAAGGGGACGAGTTGCCATACAATCCCAAGCTTTTGCATGCTCGGACTGATGAGCAGCAAACATAAGTGTGAGCAAGGACGGATATGAATCGCAGAACTTACAACAAGTCCTTCAGCGCATTTCCGTACTGATTTTGCACGTCTTCAGTAAGAGGGTCGAACGAATATCCCAAGCCACCTTGTCCAATAAGCTCCAGAGCAGTGCGCCCCATCCAGTTCAGGATGTCTACCTCTCGGGGTCCTTCTTTCACTTGTGTCGAAATAGCATCACGCAGCTTGTAAGCCATGACAATGAGTAATACATTCAAACTCCCCGGTATGAGAGGGTGGCGCACCTTGTGCACAATACGATAGAAGATTGGAAGCATAGACCGCATATGACTTGTCGAGAATGCCGGGTTCAGCAGCTTCCGCTGCCTGCGGTGCATATCACCTATATGAAAACAGAAGCTTGAATCTCAAACTAATGCTCCCCAGAGATCGTGTCACGCACCGACTGTCGAGAGCAGTCCAGGGCCGAATACGAGCATGTTCATTCTATGCAAACCGAGTCGTCACACAACTATATCTAACAACTTCATAGTAGTGGTCACGCACGATAGGAACGCTTGCGACTCTTGGAAGATATGTTCTTCCTTTATTAGAATTGTATGAAGTGCTTTGGGATCAGCAAAGTTAATGATCGGTTCCTGGTGAATCAAACGAATTAACGTGAATTCAGCTCTATGTAGCAAGGTCATATACAGAGAACTGTACCCACGCTGAAAAGGCCATATATCTTCGAAACTGGGCCATAGTCCAATGACACATGTCTCTGGAAATCAGTTCCGTCGCGAGCTGAGAAACGGGACATATTTCCTGCAGAACGTTTGAGGAGGGGTCCAACGAAATCAAGGAATAATAGTTGATGAGCGCACCTAACCAGTAGGAAGCCGAAGGGGGTCCTGGAATCTTTTCCCATGTGGCCTCAGTCCGTCTACGGTTGAAGAGGTATCGCCATGCTATGAGCACGACACCCAAAAGGCATAGATAAAGCTTGGGGTCTGAGCCGGCCATGAGTGTGAGCTGATCTGCTCGATTATACCGCTTTTATATCTTCGAATGAGACGTTTATAACGGGAGAAGAGAAGTCGGCCCGCTGTGATTTCGACTGCGATCGGAGAACTTACCGAAGGGCCACGCAAGCTAGAGGCGAATTCTCACTGCGGGGATGTGCAGCCACAACGTAACCATCCGTAGTCTGTCAGGACTGTGGAAAAATTGAGAGCTGCGCCGGAGCCATTCGATAAGACTGTGGGTAAACTCCCTTCAACAAGTTGATGATCAACTCCGAGTTGTGCGGGTCTTCATTCATAGGCGAATTTTAATGGTACATATTGTTCGGGTGAACTTCAGTGCCTGTTGCAGAAGATTGAGTAATACAGCGGCACTGTTAAAACGAGAGACTATGAGACGCAACCGCTGCCAGCGACGCCACCATGTGAGCGCCTCAAAGGGGGCCCTCGGGCCCGGGAGCGCGTAGTTCGAACCTGAGTAACGCTGACGCAGCCGACCTTGAAAGTTGAGATTTGACGAAAGCCTCGAAATGATCCCCGCAGCTTTTCATTATGCAATATCATCGACTGGGCAATAGCACGACATTGGATTCGCACGCACTTGAACCGGCGCCGACCCGGCGTTGCCATCGACTCTAGTTGGAAATGCCCAATCTGTCAGGACGCCCCAGTTCCATACCGAAGACAGCGATAGTGACTTGGATTCAGAGTAAATTGGGCTGGGAACGGTCTAATTCATATTCTCTAATGCAATTCATCTCTATGGATCATATAATAGTCTATCAAACAGACATAACAAGAATCACAAAGGTAACATCTTTCCATTCCACTGGTAATACTGGACTGTCTCTTGAAGTCCAGCCTCCTTGATTACACGGACAGCCCCGGTAGCACATTGATCAGGCGTAATCCTCGGCACTTCTGGATGATTCTTGCTCATCCAATGTTCGATTGGCTCAGCCAGTTCCGTGGCAACCCAGCCTGAATGGTTGGGGTCCATTCTCAGCTTCACGTAGGATACACAACGATGATTCAATTTACCGGGATGCATGAGAATGATGGTTATGCCTTCAGAACGCAAACGTGCTCCCCAGAGGCGAGCGAGCCTGCGTTGTCAACGAAAGTCAGACCAAATCGGCAGAGTTCATACCAACTCACATATTAAGACCAGCTTTTGATATCGCATACGAATTTGATAGTCCTTCCCATTCAGGTGCGAGCTCAAGAGAGCCGAGGATAGAGGTTATGAAGGTGATTTTCTTCCACTGCCCCTTGCGCACCATGGGAAGAAATGCACGTGTGACCCGCAACGAACCAACTGTATTGATGCGGAATTCTTCTTCAGCCAAATCTGTATTACTGTACACACTTCAGCATTACTACCATACTACAGATGAACGGAGAAATAACGCACATTTCGTCGAAATCGCATAGGGCCTGGCACGCTGTTCCTGCATTGTTGATCAGGGAGTCCAATCCACCACCCTGCGGCTTTAGCAATGCTTCAACTTCTGGCACCGCTCGTGTGACGCTCGCAGCATCGGTGACGTCTAATTGCACGATGGCTAGTCGTTCAGAGCCATATTTTGCGTCTAGCTCGTGTAGGTGTTTTGACCCTGCAGGGTCGCGGGCTCCGGCAATCACATAGTTCTGGGGATCTCGCAGCTAGCGATCCATATCGCGCAAATCGCGAGGTATAAGTCAACCGACGATCTAGTATTTAGTACAAATCTGATACTGATCTTGCTTACCAGTTCCGTGACGAGACCAAGGCCGATCCCCCTGCTCGCACCGGTAATGAGATGAGAAGGCATAATCACGCTGAAATATGTAAAGATTGGGTGGCAGGGATGTAATGGAGGGGCGAATGAATCAAAGACATAGTTGGCCTCATCCTGGGCCTTTTATGCTCGCAGAATCACGCTTAGCCGCACTGATCGGGACCGCAGCTCGCGACGATGCGATTCAGTTGATCGTTGGATGGGACAATGTTTGTACCGGAGACTTAGCACAAACATGTGTCAAGGTCCGCGGGCGGAGGCAGATCGCTCGAGTGAGCGGCATCTTGAGATCCATCGCGTCGTGGCGAAAGAAATTTGCTGTTCCGGAAGTCCCTGAGCTGAATTTAGCATCGCCGACTAGGTGCTGCAGACGGTTGAATACTTACGCAGCAGTAAAATCGCCTTATTGTTATCGCAGCAAACTGAACAGTCCCCACTGTCGGCGACATTATTATCACTTGCTAGAGCACCTACTGTGTCCACTCTGGTGCATAGCATATCATAAGCGCTCTCAGCATCGCGTTTGCTGTAACAGGAAGCAAAATCTAGTAGGGCCCATAGCATAATTCAGGGACTACTTACATGAGATCTCTCCGTAAATAAGTTGCTGCCATATAATGCCAACGTTCTGTATGGCTAGTCCGGATAGATGACCAATACGTCTGTCCCGTAGTTTTCACAAAACTTATCGAACGTGGAAAGTATCGAAACTTGATACAGCTGAAAGACCGCAAGCACGGACTGATGATCAATCATCGGGTTGGAGAAGGCCGGAATATATGAGTGTGATTACCATGAAACATTCATGATAATTGCTCGGATCCGGTCTCCAATCCAATGCGAAGTTGCGGCCCTGTAATTTTATGATACCAGTCGGCGATCAGCTCTGCATGCTGTTAAATCTTATATGAAAATGTGTTCTACTTACATGCTACGAGTGGGCGAGGCGTATGTACTTGTGTAGAAAGGGTGAAGCGAGACCAATCCAGAGAGTAAATAAATCTCTGAGAGATAGCTACAGGCCCTGTGTTACCACGACGATCAATCAGATGACATACCAGAAAATTTTAAGTAGTTCCAGTCCGATTGCTGCTTCTAAAACCGACGGGTCTTGATAGACTTTCTAGTGGGAGATGAACGTTCTACGCGAGCCATGTTGCAGCCCGCGTGTACCGATCAGGCAAGTAACGATCGCCGCATTAGACTGACTGTGTGCCTTTGAGGACAACCTTCTTCGTCGTGGGGCGGCGGCAAATTGAAACGGCAGTCATATTAAGGGTGACGTGTCTGAGCGGACGCCCCTGCGTCGCAGCAAAAAGGAGAACGAGATAAAATACAATCAGAGAGAAGCACTCGTGGGGGGCCGCGTACCTGCACGGACGTCTCCTCGTGGCGACGGGAACGTGGGTCAGACAAAATAGAAGAGGACAGGGACACTCACCAAACCACGCGCGCGGCTATAGTGCTCGTGGTCGCAGCATGTTCTGACGACATTCTATGTATTAAGTTTATAAACTTACTGTGTTGTTTTGACCCACCCCTCACGCGCACGGGGCAGCCGTGCGCGGCTTCCTTTCCAGGCGGTTTCACCAACGGGCCCGGTCGGCACGATAGATTTACCCCTCTATATATCATATCGGTGAAGTCTCTTTTTGTCCACCGGCGTTAGAGCGACATGCAGAAATATAGAGAAGAGACCATCGTTTAGATATGCTGATCGAAATGGTAAGCGTATCAATAAGCTAGACCTTTCCGAATCCAGGTCCGAGTCGGCGCAAGAGTAGCGCGAAACGTCACACCCACGTGCCCTGATCACAAGCTACACGGAGTCACAGGCACTGGCAGTCCGCGGAGATCCTGACTTGCCCAACTTCCGTCGACAGTCTCAGCTTGTTCTTTTTTTGCTTTCGAGTCTTCCGCATCGGTGTCAGCTCAGAAAGCGAGGTGGGTCATGTAATGAACCCATGCCATCTTTATCCCCATGCACTGAGGTCGCAGATTCGACCATCAGACTTATCAAGTCACGGTGCAGAAACTAGACGACTGGGAATGAAATTTAACTATGCTTGAGGGGCGGTTTTCTTGCCCTCCACCCCCAACTACTATGAAGTGAGCTCGTCAGACCAAAGCGCAAACTCGCTGCCTGTGATTTCCCAAGTCCGAAGCTTCGTTTTTGCACGTCCACGAGGGGAGAGAGTATCGAGTATCGTCAGATAGGGTGGAGAAACGGTTTTTTAATCACCCAGTGAGTATTTCCGTATTCTCCGGATTGCGACTGAGTCATGACTTCAGCGGTCAAGCTTCTCTCAGCACATGGGAGCACTTGTATAGCAGGCTCGCCGCGCCTAGGCATCGATACTCTGCCGGCATCAAGAGAAGTTGGGCATAAACCATGAGCCATTGCAGTCAACTTAACGGTCCGCTGGGATCCTGCGTCTGACCGCGCGACGAAGGGTTAGGTCAGGAGCACAATCAGGTGAATCATCACGTGCATGTATATGACCGTTGAGAAACCAAAGAACGTATCCTTCTCTCGGACCGCCAGCAGGAAACGCCCTCATTTCTCCGGGCAATGTGGATTCGTATTTTGACCCTCGTCTGAGACCGCCATGGGCAGACCACATAAAAACCATATCCTCGGGCCCCCGTTCGATCCTGGTCGAGAAAGCCGGGAACGCATCAAAATGCTCCTGCGCCGACACTCACCTTGGGCTCTACCGGCTCTGCTTTCGCTCTGTCTCGTACTGCTCACTTGGCCTCTAACCACCAGCACAAGCGCATCCAATGTCGCCGCAACTGACCCCCCGCGCAAGTCAGATAACTACTCGGATGTCGTGCAATGGGATAATTACACGATATTTTTGAACAACCAACGTATGTTCCTGCTGTACGTTTGCATCGTTTAGTAAACCGAAATGTATCCTAACCCTGTTGGTATGATATAGCACGGGAGAGTTCCATACGTTCAGGTTACCAGTACCGGATTTGTGGTTGGATATCTTTCAGAAGATGGTGGCAGCAGGCTTGACTGGTACTAGGTGAGCTTTAAGCTTCTGTGAAACAGCAGACCATGAGGGTGCTGGGAGGCGGGCTTTTGGCATTGTTTCGCATGATCGACGATTGTGACAACTCGGAGATCTAAAGATTGCTTCCGCGGCCAAGCCCGTTTTGCCTAACCTTAAAGCGGCGCCTGCTTCTACTATGCCTGTAATTTTCGAGATGCAACGATAACTAACACTTTTGTTTTGTCATCAGTATCTACATTCACTGTAAGTCAGTGACCCTTGTTGCATATCCTATTGTTCACGATCGGCTTGTTCAACAGGGGCACTGACGAATCCTGCACCGGGCGTACTTGACTTCAACGACTGGCGCGCGCTTCAGCCCATCTTTGATGCAGCCAAACTTGCTGGTATATTCATCACTCTGCGCCCCGGTATGCTTATATTGTCCATGTTTCGGGTGCATAATCTGACTCTAGGTGCCTTCAATAGGGCCCTATGTTAGTCGCAGTGTCAACATGTGCTAGAGTTGACATTGATTCCTTTCACAGATCAATGCCGAAACAACAGCAGGTGGTATTGCCTTGTGGGCCACGAGTCAAGTTGCTGGGACACTGCGCACAAATGCTACCGACTATAGGCAGGCGTGGACACCTTACATTGAGGAAATTGCAGGAAGCGTTGTCCCGAACCAGGTTTCGAACGGAGGTCCGATCATCTGTGAGTCACATCTCTTGCATAATGAGATCGGGTTCTGACCCACGACATAGTTGTGCAAATTGGTAGGTGGTCTGTCGGCTCCAATCGACATTGTCTCAATGTGCGCAGACAATGAATAT